AGGAGATCAGGGTATATGTGTGTGTGAGTCAGCAGGGCTGGGTGTAAGAATGTGCACAGGAGCAGCATAGAGTGTGCTGCTGGAGGGAGGGAGGAAACACCACTGGTGTGAAAATGTGTGGGTGAGCAGTGGACAGTGTGAGTGCAGATGAAGTACCAGCACTAGGTATGGGTGGGTAGTTAGGTGAGGTATCTGTGTGGGAGCAGCACTGGCTCTGAGAACTGGGGTGTATGTTGGGAATATCACTCATTCTGAGTGCAGGGGGACTAGGGCTGGGTGTTGTTGGAGTATGTGGGGGGAGGAGAGTAAATTTGGGTGTTGAGGGGTCTGGGGGTGAGTAAGGTTGGGAATTGGAAGCAACAGGGTTGAGCATGGCACTGGCAGAAGCAGGGCTCGCTCGGGGTGAGGTATTGGTGGGAGCAGGACTGGGTGTGGCTGGATCAGGGTGCTGGTGGGAGTAGGGCTGGGTCAGAGTGTTGGGGGCAGCAGGACTGGCTGTGGCTGGGTCAGGGTGTTGAAGGGAGCAGGGCTTGGTTGGGGTGGGGTGTTGGGGCAGCGGGACTGGGTCAGAGTGTTGGGAACAAGACTGGCTGTGGCTGGGTCAGGGTCCTGGGGGCAGAGGGGCTGGATCAGAGTGTTGGTGGGAAGAGAGCTGAGTGTGGCTGGGTCAGGGTGTTGGGGGGCTGGGTCAGGGTGCTAGTGGGAGCAGGGCTTGGTTGGGCTGGGTCAGGGTGTTGGTGGGGGGGATGACACCAGGACTGGGCGTGGCTGGGTTTGGGGTGTTGGGGGGGATGGCACACTAGGGCTGGGTCGGTGTGTTGTGGGGGGGGACACTAGGGCTGGGCGTGGCTGGGTTGGGGTGTTGGTGAGGGATGACACCAGGGCTGGGCGTGGCTGGGTCGGGGTTCTGGGGGGGGGGACACTAGGGCTGGGTGTGGCTAGCTCAGCGTGTTGGTGGGGGACGGCACAATAGGGCTGGGTCAGTCTGTTGGTGGAGGGGGACGACATTAGGGCTGGGCGTGGCTGGGTCGGGGTGTTGGGGGACACACACACCAGGGCTGGGTGTGGCTGTGTTGGGGTGTTGGGGGACACACACACTAGGGCTGGGCGTGGCTGGGTCGGGGTGTTGGGACACACACACACCAGGGCTGGGCGTGGCTGGGTCGGGGTGTTGGGCGGGGGACACACACACACCAGGGCTGGGCGTGGCTGGGTCGAGGTGTTGGAGGGGGGACACTAGGGCTGGGCGTGGCTGGGTGGGGTGTTGGGGAGGACACCAGAGCTGGGCGAGGCTGGGTCGGGGTGTTGGGGGGAACACTAGGGCTGGGCGTGGCTGGGTCAGGGTGTTGGGGGAATGGCACACTACGGCTGGGTCGGGGTGTTGGGGGGAACACTAGGGCTGGGTGTGACTGGGTCGGAGTGTTGGGGGGCACACTAGGGCTGGGGGGCTGGGTCGCGGTGTTGGGGTGGACACTACGGTTGGGTCAGGGTGTTGGGGGAGGGACACACCAGGGCTGGGCGTGGCTGGGTCGGGGTGTTGGGGGAATGGACACTAGGGCTGGGTTGGGGTGTTGGGGGAACATAGGGCTGGGTCGGGGTGTTGGGGGAGGGACACACCAGGCTTGGCGAGGCTGGGTGAGGGTGTTGGGGGAATGGCACACTACTGGGTCGGGGTGTTGGGGGAACACTAGGGCTGGGCGTGGCTGGGTCAGGGTGTTGGGGGAATGGCACACTAGGGCTGGGTTGGGGTGTTGGGGGAACACTAGGGCTGGGGGCTGGGTCGCGGTGTTGGAGTGGACACTACGGCTGGGTCAGGGTGTTGGGGGAGGGACACACCAGGGCTGGGTGAGGCTGGGTCGGGGTGTTGGGGGACACACACACCAGGGCTGGGCGAGGCTGGGTCGGGGTGTTGGGGGAATGGCACACTAGGGCTGGGTTGGGGTGTTGGGGGGAACACTAGGGCTGGGGAGCTGGGTCGCGGTGTTGGGGTGGACACTACGGCTGGGTCGGGGTGTTGGGGGAGGGACACACCAGGGCTGGGCGAGGCTGGGTCGGGGTGTTGGGGGAGGGACACACCAGGGCTGGGCGTGGCTGGGTCGGGGTGTTGGAGGAATGGCACACTAGGGCTGGGTTGGGGTGTTGGGGGGAACACTAGGGCTGGGGAGCTGGGTCGCGGTGTTGGGGTGGACACTACGGCTGGGTCGGGGTGTTGGGGGAGGGACACACCAGGGCTGGGCGAGGCTGGGTCGGGGTGTTGGGGGACACACACACCAGGGCTGGGCGAGGCTGGGTCGGGGTGTTGGGGGAATGGCACACTAGGGCTGGGTTGGGGTGTTGGGGGGAACAATAGGGCTGGGGAGCTGGGTCGCGGTGTTGGGGTGGACACTACGGCTGGGTCGGGGTGTTGGGGGAGGGACACACCAGGGCTGGACGAGGCTGGGTCGGGGTGTTGGGGGAGGGACACACCAGGGCTGGGCGTGGCTGAGTCGGGGTGTTGGAGGAATGGCACACTAGGGCTGGGTTGGGGTGTTGGGGGGAACACTAGGGCTGGGGAGCTGGGTCGCGGTGTTGGGGTGGACACTACGGCTGGGTCGGGGTGTTGGGGGAGGGACACACCAGGGCTGGGCGAGGCTGGGTCGGGGTGTTGGGGGACACACACACCAGGGCTGGGCGAGGCTGGGTCGGGGTGTTGGGGGAATGGCACACTAGGGCTGGGTTGGGGTGTTGGGGGGAACACTAGGGCTGGGTCGGGGTGTTGGGGGAGGGACACACCAGGGCTGGGCGAGGCTGGGTCGGGGTGTTGGGGGAATGGCACACTACGGCTGGGTCGGGGTGTTGGGGGAATGGCACACTAGGGCTGGGTTGGGGTGTTGGGGGGAACACTAGGGCTGGGTCGGGGTGTTGGGGGAGGGACACACCAGGGCTGGGCGAGGCTGGGTCGGGGTGTTGGGGGAATGGCACACTACGGTTGGGTCGGGGTGTTGGGGGGAACACTAGGGCTGGGCGTGGCTGGGTCAGAGTGTTGGGGGAATGGCACACTAGGGCTGGGTTGGGGTGTTGGGGGGAACACTAGGGCTGGGGGGCTGGGTCGGGGTGTTGGGGGAGGGACACACCAGGGCTGGGCGTGGCTGGGTCGAGGTGTTGGAGGGGGGACACTAGGGCTGGGCGTGGCTGGGTGGGGTGTTGGGGAGGACACCAGAGCTGGGCGAGGCTGGGTCGGGGTGTTGGGGGGAACACTAGAGCTGGGCGTGGCTGGGTCAGGGTGTTGGGGGAATGGCACACTACGGCTGGGTCGGGGTGTTGGGGGGAACACTAGGGCTGGGTGTGACTGGGTCGGAGTGTTGGGGGGCACACTAGGGCTGGGGGGCTGGGTCACGGTGTTGGGGTGGACACTACGGTTGGGTCAGGGTGTTGGGGGAGGGACACACCAGGGCTGGGCGTGGCTGAGTCGGGGTGTTGGGGGAATGGCACACTAGGGCTGGGTTGGGGTGTTGGGGGGAACACTAGGGCTGGGTCGGGGTGTTGGGGGAGGGACACACCAGGGCTGGGCGAGGCTGGGTCGGGGTGTTGGGGGAATGGCACACTACGGCTGGGTCGGGGTGTTGGGGGGAACACTAGGGCTGGGCGTGGCTGGGTCAGGGTGTTGGGGGAATGGCACACTAGGGCTGGGTTGGGGTGTTGGGGGGAACACTAGGGCTGGGGGGCTGGGTCGCGGTGTTGGAGTGGACACTACGGCTGGGTCAGGGTGTTGGGGGAGGGACACACCAGGGCTGGGTGAGGCTGGGTCGGGGTGTTGGGGGACACACACACCAGGGCTGGGCGAGGCTGGGTCGGGGTGTTGGGGGAATGGCACACTAGGGCTGGGTTGGGGTGTTGGGGGGAACACTAGGGCTGGGGAGCTGGGTCGCGGTGTTGGGGTGGACACTACGGCTGGGTCGGGGTGTTGGGGGAGGGACACACCAGGGCTGGGCGAGGCTGGGTCGGGGTGTTGGGGGAGGGACACACCAGGGCTGGGCGTGGCTGGGTCGGGGTGTTGGAGGAATGGCACACTAGGGCTCGGTTGGGGTGTTGGGGGGGAACACTAGGGCTGGGGAGCTGGGTCGCGGTGTTGGGGTGGACACTACGGCTGGGTCGGGGTGTTGGGGGAGGGACACACCAGGGCTGGGCGAGGCTGGGTCGGGGTGTTGGGGGACACACACACCAGGGCTGGGCGAGGCTGGGTCGGGGTGTTGGGGGAATGGCACACTAGGGCTGGGTTGGGGTGTTGGGGGGAACACTAGGGCTGGGGGGCTGGGTCGGGGTGTTGGGGGGAGGGACACACCAGGGCTGGGCGAGGCTGGGTCGGGGTGTCGGGGGAATGGCACACTAGGGCTGGGTTGGGGTGTTGGGGGGAACACTAGGGCTGGGGGGCTGGGTCGGGGTGTTGGGGGAGGGACACACCAGGGCTGGGCGAGGCTGGGTCAGGGTGTTGGGGGGAACACTAGGGCTGGGTCGGGGTGTTGGGGGAGGGACACACCAGGGCTGGGCGAGGCTGGGTCGGGGTGTCGGGGGAATGGCACACTACGGCTGGGTCGGGGTGTGTTGGGGGAATGGCACACTAGGGCTGGGTGGGGTGTGGGGGAGGGGGCTGGGCGAGGCTGGGTCAGGGTGTTGGGGGAATGGCACACTAGGGCTGGGTTGGGGTGTTGGGGGGAACACTAGGGCTGGGGGGCTGGGTCGGGGTGTTGGGGGAGGGACACACCAGGGCTGGGCGAGGCTGGGTCGGGGTGTCGGGGGAATGGCACACTAGGGCTGGGTCGGGGTGTTGGGGGAGGGACACACCAGGGCTGGGCGTGGCTAGGTCGGGGTGGTGGGCGGAGCAGAGCTGGCTACGGGATCACGTGGATGCCCAGGGCGGAGAGCGGGCAGCAGCGGTAGGGGGCGCACTCCCCTCCGCCGATACGTGTCCAGGCCATGCTAATGTCACAAGCCTGTACGTCACTTCCGCTTTCTGTGGCTTCGGCGGAGGGTGGTGATTTCTTGTTTCCGGTCTGTGCCGTGGTGGCGCGGCTGGCTGACGCCCGTTGGCTGCGCCGTCCTGGCCGGCGTGTGGCGTGCGCGGGGAGGTCGCGGTCTCTCACTGCTTACTGGGGATGGGGCCGCATTGGGGTCTGGTGGTGAGGCAGCTCCCCAGGTAAAGCGAGCGGGAAACGGACAGGGAGGGGCGCGGGAGTGGTCAGCCGTTCTGGCCCTGCCCGGGGGCTGGGTGTGTCACGGTCACGCCGCCCCCCAGCTCCCTTGGGTGCCTGTCCCTGGTCATGTGAGGGTCACCCATGGGCCCTAGATAAGTGGGTGCAGAGCGCCCCTCTCGTCCCGTTGTCACTGACCCGCCCCGGGACCAGAGCGGGAGGTGGCCTCCTACAGCTGCCCAGAGAGCCCTCCCGCCCCTGCCCAGTCCGAGGCACTGCCCCCTGGTGAGTCCCCGCCTCCTCCCTAGGGCAAGGAGAGGACACCTGTGGGTCTGGCTCCTTCAGGGATGAAGCCACCCTGCCCAGTCTGACATGGAAAAGTGTTGCCAGTTTATGTCAGTGCCAGGGCACATAATCTTACAGTTGGCCCTTAGCCGTCGCTCTTGTTTTAGGGAAGTGCTATTTAAAAGAATCAGCCACAAAAGATCTTCCCACTACTTAATAATGAGGAGTTCGTAGAAGATAACTTTTCTTTTTATGCTGTGCAAATTTTGGTCAGTTACAATTAGGTGTTGTAGGCCACACCTTTGAGTTCTTGCAGTATTCCTGGAGAATGGCAAACATAGCACCTTTCTTTAAAAAATGGTTAACAAAGGACCCAGGGAATAATAGGCCATGTAACTTCAATACCTGGAAAGAGAATAGAAAAAAACTTATTAAGCAATCAGTTTGTAAGCACATGGAGGGTAATTAGTAATAGCCAACAAAGATTTGTCAAGAACAATCATGTTGAAACAGTTTAATTTGCTGCTTTGACAGGTTTCAGAGTAGCAGCCGTGTTAGTCTGTATTCGCAAAAAGAAACGGAGGACTTGTGGCACCTGCCTCCGATGAAGTGAGCTGTAGCTCACGAAAGCTTCTGCTCAGATAAATTGGTTAGTCTCTAAGGTGCCACAAGTCCTCCTTTTCTTTCTTTGACAGCGTAATTGGCCCAGTGGATATGAGAAGCAGTAGAGGTGATCTCTTGACTTTAACGTTTTTGACACAGTCCTGTGTGACAATCTCATAAGCAAACTAGGGAAATGCAGTCTAGATTAAATTGCTATATGAGTGCATAACTAGTTGCAACACTGTAGCCATAATAATGAATAGTTTGCTGTCAAATTGGATGGACATAGCACGTGGATTCCCTGGGTCTAGTTCTATTCAATATTTTCACAATGATTTGGATTACAGAGTAGAGCTGTACTTTTAACATTTGTAAATATTACCATCTTGAGAGGTGTTGTAAGCACTTTGTAGGACAGGATTAGAATTTAAAATGTTGATAAATTGGAGAATTGGTCTGCAATCAACAAGATCAAATACAATAGAGATAAGTGCAGAGTATTTTGCTTAAGAAGGGGGAAAAAATCCAATACACAAATACAAAATGGAGAATAACTGGCTAGGCAGTGGTACTGCAAAAGAGGACTTGGAGGTTATAATGGATCATAAATTGAAGGAGTCAGCCAGCAATGTCATGCTGTAGCTAAATAGGTACATGTCATTCTGGGAACTATTAACAGGTTATCGCATGCAACACATAAGAGGTAGTTGTATTGTTCTGCTCTACTTGGCGCTGGTGAGGCTTCAAAGGTGGAGTATTCTGTCCATTTTGGGGCACCACACTTTAAGAAAGATGTGGATAAGTTCTGGAGAGTCCACTGTAGAGCAACAAACAAATGGCTTGGAAAACATGCGCTCTGAGGAAAAGTTGAAAGAATTGAGCATGTTTAATCTAAGAAAAAAGACTGAAGGGGAAACTTAAGTCTTCAAACATGGAAAAGGTTGCTATAAAGAGGACATTGATCAATTGTTTTCCATGTTCACTGAGCATAAGACAGGTAGTAACTGGCTTAGTTTGCAACAAGGGAGATTTAGGTTGGATATTAGGAAAAACTTACTATAAGTATAGTTAAGCACTGGAACAGGCTACTTTGGGAGGATGGGGAATCCTTGTCTAAAGTAGTAAAACCCCGGTCAGGGACGGTCTAGGTATACTTAATCCCTCCTTGGTTTTGACAGATGGACTAGATGACTTCGTAAGGTCACTTTTAGTCCTACATATCTATGATTAAAATTATCCTGGGGTGTGGGCAGCAACCTGCAACATTTAATTTTAAAACTCAACCTGTATTTTGGGACACTTGCCAAATATTTCATGGCAGAAATTAATACCCTTAAAATAGACAACAATAAAATAAAAATTTTGAAGTGGGGATCTGATAAAAGTGAAAAAATCTCCATCTATGGGGCTGTTTCCAAACTGGGGCTGTTGTCTGAAGAATTATAGGGGCAAGATCAGAAAAAGCAATTAATGGAGGAGTTAATTAGAGAATTAACCAAGCCCCTGGAGGTCAAAAAGAAATCTATATGGGAATAGGACCCATGTGGCAGGGAAAATATGTATAGTCCCTACCCATTGAGACTGTGATATTTGGTGATTATATATTCATGTCTTCAATGTGCAATTCTAGGGTCATTCTAGTTTTGGTGGGGTACTCTCCCTGAGAGTGAGATTTGTTCACAAGAGGATCAAGCATTTGATTAAAATCCCCAGGAAACGGAGTAGAGAGAGAGAGTTCTCTATATATTTTAGAGAAAGACCTATAGAAGATTGCATATAAGCAATGATTAGTTCAGATCCATTTATGGTGTTTTACAGATTAAAAATCTGCCCTGATCTAGTGAAAGTGACTCAGACTGTTACTGCCATTACTTTATGGAAGTGTATGGATTCTCCTCTGGATTTGAATGAGAAACATCAAGGCATTGCACTCATTCTAATCAGTGTCAATGTTATACCAATAAAATAAAAACCAGCAGGATCTTATTAAAGGGGAAAAGGCAAAATGCCACATTTATTGTGAATACAGAAAGAATCATAGTAAGCAGTTAGTTACAGCTATAACATTCCATTCAATTTCATATTTATTCACACATTCATTTATATACACACACACGTTCTGCAGGGTTGTTGTTATAGTTACCAACCTTAGAGTTGCTCATGCCAAGCCACTGGCCAGGTGGTCTGGACATGAGGAGGGAGCAGGGCCTTGTCAGATGCTCATCTGATGCTCTTGGAAGTTGGTTTACAGAATCAGACCCCAAAGTTCTCACTTTCTAGAGTCCATTTTTATAGGAATTTCTTCCTATGCCAGTCTATGGGAATTGCTTCGTCATGCTGTTGCTGAATCAATCAGCAGATGGCACATTCCTGACGCCTGAGTGCTGCCAGATGTTATCTTGTTCTTTGGTTCTCCCATTCTTGAGGCTGTTGGGTGGATTCCAGTCTGCCCTCTGGGGGTCCTCTGGTTATTTCCACTTGATGCCTTCTTCAGCCGATGGACACTGGATTCTTAGGCTGGCACCTCCCTGATCATTCAGTTATTATCCACACCAAGCATCCATCCACATACATCCTCTATCTCTATTTTAATCACAATTGTTAACAAAGCGAGATGAATATAACAAAAGGGCGGGGAGTCTCTGGGTACTGTTCCTGTTGCTACAGAGTATTGCTTTGAGTCTCTCTCTGTGTGAGTAGTTGTTGTTACAAAGAATTGCTTTGAGAACAGACTCTGTCTTAGAACATTATCTTAATAAAATTATTAAATCTGTACTAACACAATTAGCAGCTTGCAAGTTCCACACATAGAGGGAGAGAAACAGTACCAAAAACCAAGAGACCTCTTAATTAATAATACCCTGGAATTTAAACTATGGGGAATCAAACTCATTTGTGATTTTAATACAGGACTTTTTTAATATCCAACATCAAGTGTCTCTTCTGCAGCAAAAACACCACATATCTACCTTTGCTTTCTTTAATAATGAGTATACTTTCTTTTAATTGGCATGTTGAGTTCCTTTACATTCTAGGAAATAAAACTGAGCTGGAGGACCATTTGGTGATGTTAATTATTTTTGTCACGTGTGGCCTTACAAACAAGGATGACAGTGCTTGTGTCATGTGCTCTACTGCACTTCAACCTATGCCCTACACAGAATTCCATGAGGTGGGAGAGTCTACAGATGAAATGCCTCAGACACTTATTCCACAGATTTTTGGATTACCTTGCCAGATGCTTCAGGGAATGGGGTAGATACATCAGCATTAGTTGCAACCGCCTCCAGAGGCTTGATGCAAGTCAGTCATGTAGGGTGTAATTTTCCTGCATGTTTCTGGTGAAGAGAGAGGTGGGAAGAGTAGCGGTAGTAAGGGGATCTGAGAGGCTTAGGAGAGGGAAGAACACAGCCAGGTTAAAGCAAAAACATAAAACCACATAACATATATAACTTGGCCTATTATCAACTGTGACCGGTTGTCTTAGATATTAGTATAGGGCAGTGGTTCTCCAACTTTCGTACTGGTGACCCCTTTCACGTAGTAAGCCTCTGAGTGCGACCTCCCCCACCCCTTATAAATTTAACACACTTTTTAATATATTTAACATCATTATAAATGCTGGATGAAAAGTGTGGTTTGGGGTGGAGGCTGACAGCTTGTGATCCGACCCCCCATGTAATAAACTTGCGACCACCTGAGGCGTCCCCGACCCCCAGTTTGAGAACCTCTGGTATAGGGCATCGCGGTCCCACTCTGTCCTGAGTGGTATCTCTCCATTCACCACTTAAAAAGCAAATCACAGTGAAAAAGCAGCCATTGTGAAACACTTAACACTATAAACTAAACTAACCCAAGTAGTCAGTTCTGGAGAGGGTAGGCCAGGGAGATGCCATCCAGGCCCGGAGCTCTGCTGACAGCCACTATTTAAACTATATTTTTAACAGGCACTCTATATTTCCTATAATAAAAGGTAGTAACCACATTATAAGGCGATAGAAAGGAAGTATGCACTCTGCCAACATGATATTTCTTAACTGGTATGTCAAGGTTATTCCTGTGTATTAATCTCTTTAACTATAATCTTTTCAGTTTGCCAAAGTAAACACCAGGGTATTGGTAATATAGTGTGGTGTTCTGAGTGAGATGCTCTGGTGATTATTTTCCCTACGCTGCATGCCCCTGTTCCTTTGGTTTACAACCAAACATTCAGTTTCCCTTCCTCATATTAAATGAGCATAACTGACAGGGGACAAGTCTGACTGATCCTGCTGATTGCAAGTGTCTGTACCAAAGGGCATAGCTATCAGATTAAGCTCATGATTCTTCTATATAAGTCTATGTTCATGTACTCAGGGCCTGATATTGTAGAACGTGTTAGGATGGGGGAAGAAATGGAGAAGTGGAAGAGGAAGGGAGCAGGGGCTGGAGGCAGGGGAGGTGGGGAAAGGGACAGGGTGAGAGGGAGGAAGTAGGTGGTGATAGGGAAGGCAGAAATTACTGGTTGATGTAGCTCCACAATCAGCGTTTGTCGTCTTTTCTGTTGCGTTTGCCTATAAGGGGTGAAGCTATATCCCTCAGGTCCTGTGTGCCTTTGTCTGATGCCTTGCAGGGAGGAGAGCCATCTTTCACCGATGATGTCAAGCTGCTAGGCTTTGAGGACCCCCAGCAGTAGGGTGTGGCAATGCACCAGTGTCTCCCATTGGCAACTATTTTAAAAGATGGAATGGGAGCCCTCAAGTTCCTGCTGAGCAACAGGGATCTGCACTACCCCCGGTCATCTCTTTGATGTACTTCACTGCTGAGCTTACACACACACTTTGTATAATCACAAACAAATAGTATGTATTGATTTGTCAGGGGTATGTGTACCTCTGGTGATATGTAGAGGTCTTCCAGGGGGTATATCAATGCATCTAGATATTTGCCTAGTTTTTCAACAGGCCACATAAAAAGCACCAGTGAAGTCAGTAAAAACTAAAATTTCATACAGACAGTGATTTGTTTATACTGCTTTATACACTGAAATGTAAATACAATCTTTATATTCCAATTGATTTATTTTAAAATTATATGGTAAAAATGAGAAAGCAAGTAATTTTTCAGTAATAGTGTGCAGTGACACTTTTGTATTTATGTCTGATTTTGTAAGCAGGTAGTTTAAGTGAGGTGAAACTTGAGGTACACAAGACAAATCAGACTCCTGAAAGGGGGACAGTAGTCTGGAAAGGTTGAGAGCCACTGTTTTAAATAATCTGCAGTGAACTTTCTGCTTCTTATGGCTTTGGGAACAGAGGCACTTTTTCAATGTCTTGACATGGAACTGAGTGGGAAACTTCATAAAATATTTGAAACTTCATTACTTGGCAAGTTCCCTAGCTCTTCTAAAGTCTGGTCTCTTCAGCCACATCTTTTGCAAAATCATTTTCTTGGTATCCCTCAAACTGTCGTCCTCCCCTTTGAGCTAGCTGCATTTTTCCCTCTTTTACAGTAAGTATTAGAAGTTTGATTACCAGTACATGAGATTTGGCATTTGAGGCTGGCTTTAAGAATTAGGGAACTGCGTGCTCTAAGTCAAATTTAAAATAATCCATTAGGTTGAGCACTTCTGAAAAGAGCCTGGGAACAAATTCTAGGGGGTTTCACTTTCTGCTATTTCAGGTACTCCTTTAATTCTCAAAGTATTGTGGTGACCTTCCATTGGTCTGCCACTTTAGATTTAAGAGAAGATAAGTCTGTTCGGCTTCTCTGCACCTGGGTAGAGACCCCTTGTACCTGATCTTCCAGAGTTGATATTCTTGCTTCTCCTTCATTCACCTATCCTGTCAGCCCTTGCAGAGAGAGTAAAATGAGAGAAGTCAGGAGATATCAAGGCCACAATACAATTGTATCTGCAGCAACTTTCTCCAGCAGGGCCAACACAGACACAGTGCCCTAATTAACCATTTTGTCCAAGGGGCTAGAGTCTCTGTTCTCTTTGTCTTTTAGCTAGTTGTAGAGCCCACAACAGACAAATATATGACTGCTGATTTTCAAGAGATTTGGGGGTACCTTTTCCTTTACTAAGGCTGGGGGTGTTGGTCAGGGGCTCTGTACTACAGATGGAAATAGATATTAGCGGATGGCTCTGGAGCTCAAGGTATCTGTTCCTCCAGGCCATGCAGCACCTCCTGCAGCTCGTTCATGTTAGGTTTTGTACATTCCCACTTGTTGCAAAATGTAATTCAGGCCTAAAAGTAGTTGGCAGCATGCTTTTAAATATATTCTGTTAATGAACTTCAGGTATGGAAAAGCCAACAATAGGATAATATTGGGAATAAAATGAGGAAAGTGATATAAACTAGGACACTGATAATGTGGTTGATTGCACACTGGCAATTCATGTACATGTATAAAAGTTATATAAGACATCTTTTATAGTCAAACTGCCATAGGTCTTGATAAACTGAAAAAAATCTGGTCTCATAGAACTCTGGCAAGCATCATTCAGTCTGCTCCCAAGAATGGGGCAGGATAGCAAAGAGGAAGTAACTATGCAATATTCTCAAAACAAAATAGTTTATAGATCCAACAAAGTAGGACTATATGCCAAAATCTGCTCTCAGATACATTGATGTAAATTGTGCATAACTCATTAGATTTCATTTGAGTTATTCTCAATGCGCACCAGATAAACTAGAGCACATTTTGTCCCCAAATAACTAATTTATATAATTGTCTCTAGAGGTTATGATAGGGGAAACTGAAAAAAATTGCAGAAATGCCAGGGCTAGAAAATATTCCTGAAGCACTGAAACATGCACTGATATTTTTGTAATATGCCTACTAAATATTGGACATTGAGCCAAGCTGCTGATTATAGTCAGGACTTCCTTCTGTATGTGTACAAACTTCCTTTGAAACTTCTAGGCACTTCAGAACTGGCAGTGGTTTGTACGTGTTGACAAATGCTATTTATTTGTTCTTTTTTTCCTGTTCCTTTAAAACCAACAACTATTTAGAATGCTAGAAACACACGTAAAAAAACCCGTTTTAGTGATTTACGACAAGTCTGTTGTTTATGACTTTACAGGGTGATTGCTTGTACACTATTCATACTAACCATAATTTAGAAGTTGAATTGTGCAAAGTTGTATACGTTAAGAAAACCTGCCACTGACTTGACATGTACAGCGAGAAACTTCTATCAAAGCTTAGTGCAACTCACTCAGAGCATTTAATTTTTGAAATGCTTTAGCTACCATTGAACTTGGCTTTCTTGTTTCAGATTAAAGCCATTCAACAGATTACAAATAATACTACAGCACTTGGTAAGTATAGGGTTCTATCTGGTCGTGTTAAAAGCCGATTTTGTAACTTCTCCCCCTTGTGTGATAGAGAATAAGTGTATAGTTCTTTAGTTTATCCAATCATGGCAGTATTATACTGTAAATTCAGCTTTTTAATGTTTAGGTCTAATGTTTCCAGTTACACTTCAGCTGGAGTTTACTACAAATTCCTTTTACAATAATAATATAGATTTATTAGTTTTTGGCACCCCACATATTTTGAGTGATTATTCTGTTTTTCTCAGTAGATTCAAACACAATGTTTTCTAGTATGCTAAATTGTCTTCTGAATATTTTAGTTTGCTGACTTTACATTTTAGTTTTGAGTTTTAAATTGAGTTTGCTTATGAATCATTTGAGTAACTTTTTTGTATAATATTGTCAAACATGATCAGACAAGGCCATTTGCCATGATCCCATGTGTACTGTGTTAGATGGTGAGTAGGAGAATAGTCTTGTACATCTATCATCATAACTGATGCAAGTGTTTTCAACGTGGTAGTCTCAGTGAAACAAGATCACAACCATATGTCCTAAATAAAGACATTGAGGAACATAATGTATTTCAGAATGTACAACACAAAATATTTCCAAATATTCCTGCAAATTAATAAGCGCAAAGCTAGTATAATATACTTAGTATGGCTTTCGGAGCAATATTAAAGAGTAGCTGAAATAAATCAATCTTTAAATAATTTGAGAGTTGTGTTGGAAAATGTTAGTCTAGAATTCTGTCAAAATACTCACAATGACCTGAATCACAGTTACGGTGAGTTTTGAGAATGTTTATGGAATTATACTCTATACCGTATGGTTATTCAACATGGAAATACATTGTTTTACTTAGTCTCCCTATTTTTGCATGTACAGAATATGTCCAAACACACAGATTCTGCAGCTGAAGTGTTATTGGAAAAGAAAGGATGTGCTGGAGTCATAACTATGAATCGACCAAAGGCTCTAAATGCATTAAATCTTTCCATGATTCGACAGATTTATCCACAGTTAAAGGTTAGTGGCTTTATTTTAACTCAGCCTAAATTCATACATCTACTGGCAGTTTTAAATATAAAGCTGCCACTTCTTTGTTCTTTCTAATCAATCTGTAACTTCTTGTATGGAGTCACTGACCCAATCATTAAGACCCTGCTTCAACCGGTACTTAAACTTGCACCTAACTAAACGTGTGAGTAGATCCATTGAATTCAGTGAGACTACTCACAGTTTTAAAGTAAGGCATGTCCTTAAATACCATCCTGACCTACAGATTAGGTTGAAGAATCCACATTTGCATGGTAGTTTGGTTCCCCAACTAACTTCCTACATTTTAGTGAAATGCTGAACAGTGTTGCATATGTAGTGATATGGGTTCCTTTCTCCAGAGGTTATGTAAGCTGGGCTGGGGGTGGGGAGTACTTGAACTACTCCAAATCCTCAATTGTAGAAATCATACCACTTTAACTATACTGGCATAAAGTGGTTCAACTCCCTTCTTTAGTGCAGATGCAGTTATATTGGTATAAATGTTTATATTGATATAGCTTATTACCATATGGGAAAGGGATTAAAATAGATGAATATAATGCACTTTTAAAAACTGCATCAACACTGGGAGGCTGTTCGACTATAATTATTTCAGTTAAAAACAAAAACATGCTACACTGATGTAGTTATACTGGTACAACACGCTGTACGTAGACCAGGCTTTAGTCAATTCATTTGGCTGAAATCCATTAGTGCTACAAGTCATGTACTTCCTGCCCAGTCTGTTTGGGCCTTTAACACCCTGGTCTCCTACTGGCTGAACTTTGAGCCCCAGTTAATACCATCTCAATCACAGAATCTTCTGTGGGTAGTACTGGTAGGAGCTCCTCGCAGGCTGACTGCTCTAGGGTGTGGCAACTCCTACCAGGAATGAGGACAATAGTCCTCACAGGGCACATACTTCTAATAGCAGCAAGTGCTTCCCAGCTGCTTCCCGTTTCTCTTCTGATGGTATTGACACTGAAGCTGTCTGTTGGAAGATTCAGGAAGACCTATCTACATCAATTAACCTTCCAAGCATGAACTAAATGTTTCTTCAGGGGATACAAACTTGTTTTTTTAAGAGTGAAATAATAGATTCGGCAGAGGTTGATGGCACTGACCCAGGAGAAATTTCTACTCAGCTGCATTTGTGGATTTTCAAAGTCCTGCTTTTTGTATGTTTTTAGGGCTCAGTTGAAGTTTAAGGAGGATATGGCTCATTTTCTGGAAGGAGTAAGAAGAATGACCAAAGACAGCATTTGGGAAAAGTGGTTTTAAATGAATTTTTATATATTGGGGAATAATATTTCTTTTGTCCTTCCTCTTAGACATGGGAGAAAGACCCTGAAACCTTTCTAATAATTATAAAGGGAACTGGAGGAAAGGCTTTCTGTGCAGGGGGTGATATCAGAGGTAAGGACTTGAGAATGTGCTGAATTCACCCTGGTCACTGTTTTACAATTGTGACATACAACTTTCAGTGATCAGTTACTTCAATATTCATATCCCCCATTCTAAGTACAGGGTATATGTGAATTAGTGAGATAGAGGTAAATAGATACTGTTGTGCAAGAATCATCAAGGTTTTAATGTGGCCACTGCAAAACATTTATGTATCTTAAATGAGTTCCTTTTCAGTGTAAGTAGATAATACAGAGATAAAGCAAAACTGTATTTGCCCTAGGACAGCTAAATTTTGTTATAATGGTTGAAAAATAACTCTTTATGAGTAGCTGGCTAAAACTTAAAATAGGCGTGACTGAAGTGAATGTGGTAGGAAGAGGGAAGCACTTTGAAGAACTTGCCTTCTCAAAAATATCCCTTGCTACTGAGGGCATCTGTCCTGGCAGTCTGGTGGCCCGGTTAGACAACCCACTGATATTAAAGACCCAAAGAGTCATGACAGCAAAAAACACCTGCTTATATTTATGACTTGCTATAAAGATTGTACCCTATTAGACAGATCTGACCACAGTGATCAATGCATTTGTGTACTCCCTACTAGATTACTTTAGCTAATTTAAGAACTATATACCCTGAAAATGCTCCAGAGGCTGAAAATGCAACAGCCTGTCTGCTCATTGTAAACTAGTGTCCTCTCAGCACTGGGTCCTCATTTTCCAATATTCAGAATCTTTCATAGGAATGTTTTTAGCTATCTGGGAAATTGGCTTTCCCTCTGTGATCATGACCTCCTGTGATCATTCCAGTGAAACCAAACTGTGAAGCTGCCAACCAGTAGGAAAGGCTCATGAATGCTGCAGGCATAATTTATGAGAGCTGGACTTAGATTATCAGATATATTATGACAAGAAATTAGTGGGGAAAAATATGCATGATAATGAAAATAACTCAAGGAAGATGATACTGATTGTATTTAAGTAATTAAAATACATTTTGAAGTCTACTGGTAATTGTCACACTTCCATTTGCTGCACTGGAGTGCTGCAGAAAACAGGGGCCCCTCCTATAGAATTTAAGTCCATTTTGCAGAGTACACAAGACCTTGCTTATTGTCAGTATTTAATATTACAAAGTCATTTTTGTTGTGCTGGTTAAATTTGACCAAATTTTTAAAGCAATTTTTAGTTTTAATTTTGTCTTATTTTACTAGCTATCACAGATGCAGGAAAAGTTGGAGATAGGCTAGCACAAGATTTCTTCAGAGAAGAATACATCCTGAACAATGCTGTTGGTATGTGTGTACAAAGCAATTTCCAAATCTAAAATACCTGTAGAATATTTGTGGTTTTGATTTTTCACAGTGGTGGCTCTAAAGCATAAATTCAACATTTAATTTTATAGAACTGGTAACACAGGTAAAGATTAAATCCGAAGGTATTAATTTCTGACTAAATGCCAGTTTTGGTAACCCATCACTAATTTGGCAGTGGGGAATCCCTTATAGTTTTAGGGGTGCGGCTAAGTATGGTATTCATTTCCCATTTTAAACTGTTAAACAGCTTCTCCATTTCATCTCGGGGGTTGTCAGTAACTATATTTCAGTGATGGGGAAAGTGATTCCTAGATTTGCAGATGAAGTATTTTAGATAATTGTGAAGTATTATTTGTTTAGTTTAGAGAAGACACAAAGAAGATGTGACAAGATACATAAAATGGGCACTCCTATATTTACTGTCTAATAATGTAAGAATGTGGCAGCACTCAATGAAATTAGAAGGCAATACTGCTTTACTCATTGCATAACAATTTGTAGCAGGAGTTCCACTGATTATTACTGTGGCAAGGAGCTTAGTCGGAGTCCGAAAAAGATTGGACCTTTATGTGAATAATCTATTTACAGCCAGAGACACAAGATACTGACTAGAGGGACCATTGTTTTGATGCTGTATGGCAATTCAGGTGTAGCTAAAAGATGTTTTCAGATTAAAAATTCATATTTCTGAAAAGTTAGTGTGTTATCGTACAACACCCTTAGATTATTAAAACAGGCCTGGTCTACACTAAAGAAATAGGTTGACTTGTCATGTCGCTCATGGTTGTGAAAAATCCACACCTCTGCGGGGTGTGGTTAAGCTGACCTAACCTTGCCTATAGGCAATGCTAGGTCAATGGAAGAATTCTTCATTGACCTACCTACCGCCTCTGGGTATCTATGCCAATGGGAGAACTTCTGTTGGCATAGATAGTGCCTACACCAGTGTTTCCCAAACTTGGGATGCCACTGTTCAGGGAAAGCCCCTGATGGGCCGGGCCGGTTTGTTTACCTGCCGTGTCCGCAGGTTTGGCCGATCGCAGCTCCCACTGGCCGCAGTTCGCTGTGCCTGGCCAATGGGGGCTGTGGGAAGCGGAGGCCAGAAAGTCCCTTGGCCCGCACCACTTCCCGCAGCCCCCGTTGGCTGGGCACAGCGCACCGCGGCCCGTGGGAGCCGATCGGCCGAACCTGCGGATGCTGCAGGTAAACAAACTGGTCTGGCCCACCAGGGGCTTTCCTTGAACAAGCGGCATCCCAAGTTTGGGAAACACTGGTCTACACTGATGTGTTACAGTGGCACCTCTCTAGCATTTCAAGTGTAACAAGTCCTGAGAATATAACATCCAACTTATGTTGTTCTCGAATCTAACTTCTGTTATCTCTCCTTTGATTATAAAAGGTGCACAAATCAGTTTTATCATTTTACTTTCTTGTTCTCATGCTTTTGCAGAATCCTACAATGTTTGTACAGTAAGAACACACAGGACTTTATGTAAACCTTTTCCATTGCCTTTAAAGCACATACAAGTTTTTCTATTGATCATGGCTTTATTAAAGCATATATAAAGTAAATGTATATTTTTGCCAAATTTGATCTGATAGCATTCCTATGAGTGAGATTTTGTATTATGTATTGAAAGCATCTCTAGTGGGTATCTAAAGTTGTCAGCAAATAATGCATCTTATTTATGCAGTCAAAGTAGACAGGTAGTACAAAAATCGGTTTAGCAATCCAGGTAGTAATATTGCATTTTCATCTGGGGTGATGGGGTTAAAGTGCACGTCCTTTGTTATATTTGCTAAATACTATTTCCCACTACTCAGCGTGGGGATCTTGTAGTGAAAGACCCTCTTATATATACACATATACAGAAAGAGAGAGTTAAAATTGATGTGGGAACTATAACTCTACATTTTCTTGCATTTTGTGTGCTAGTTGCTATAACTGCATGAGTTGGGATTTTGCAGTTTCTTAGATTTAATTTAAAATACTGACTAAAAAGCATAGCTTCATTCAAAAAAAAAAAAAGCTGTCCTCGAAGAAGCTGGGACCTTGGTTTTGCTCCTCCTAAGTTAGCCTGGATGTTTAGGTATTGACACACTTACAGTCTTAAAAATAATGTAGGTTTGTTCACTGGTTGCTTTTTAAATGCATTCTTAAGGATGGTAGAAGTGTTTCTAGAACTTGCCCCCTAGAGAATTAACTGACAAATCATACTGAAGTTTTATATAATTTATGAACTACTTCAAGTACCTGTATTGTTGGGTGGTGACATAAAATAACTTTATTCATTATGAATTTAACATTTTATCCTTTTATCTCTTTATTGTATAAAGTAATTTGTTAAAACTACAGCCAGTTAAGTGAAATATCTGTGTGTCAGAGGTATTTTCTTCTAGGCTGGGGTTAAGTGTACAAAAATATATTACATATGCCTAATTGTTACATTTCTGTTAGGTACCTGCCAGAAGCCGTACGTGGCACTTATTGATGGGATTACAATGGGAGGTGTAAGTAAAATATCTTTATAAGTGAGACAGTTGAGATGGCTTGTCTATGTTAATGTAATATTTGATAAAAAACATTGCGTGAAGCAAAATTTACAGAAGTATGTACCGTAACGCCTCGCTTAACGTTGTAGTTATGTTCCTGAAAAAATGCTACTTTAAGCTAAGCGATGTTAAGTGAATCTAGTTTCCCTATAAGAATTAATGTAAATGGGGGGGGGTTATGTTCCAGCGAATTTTTTTTGCCAGACAAAAGACCATATATATGTACACACACACAAATACACAGTATAAGTTTTAAACAAACAGTTTAATACTGTACACAGCTATGATGATTGTGAAGCTTGGTTGAGGTGGTGGAGTCAGAGGGTGGGATATTTTCCAGGGAATGCCTTGCTGCTAAATGATGAACTAACACTTGGCCGAGCACTCAAGGGTTAACACGTTGTTAATGTAGCCTCACACTCTACAGGACAGCAGGAATGGAGGGAGGAGACACAAAGATGCATGGCAATGGCTGCAAACATTCCCTGTGGGAACTGAATGTGATGATGAACCCCCGCTATCCCACTGAAGTGCACCACTCCCTTCCACTTTCCAAAGTGCTGATGGGGGGGGGTGCATGTGTGAGAGAGAGACAGACACACACACACACCGTGTATGTGAGAGAGAGATGCGCATTGCCCCTTTAAGTACGCTGACTCCACTCTAAGTACACTACCCTTTTAAGTAGATCAGCAAGTTGAGACAACAGCTGCTGGCAGCAAGCTCCCTCCATCCTGGGCCCTGTCCTGTCCTCCCCTGCTCTGTGGAGATCGGGTGCAGGGCAGAGGGATACCCAGACATCAGCACCCCTGTCCTCCCCACCCCCTCCGCACAGCAAGTAGGAGGCTCCCAGGAGCAGCTCCAAGGCAGAGGGCGGGAGCAGCACACAGCAGTGGGGGGAGGGACCCTTGAACTGCCCGGCAATTGATAGCCTGCTGGGTGGCTGCCACACAGGGAACTTAGGGGGGCTACCAGTCCACCCTGGTTCCAAGCCCCAGCAGCTAGCTCCAATGGGCTACTCTTCCTGCAAGCAGTGGACAAAGCAGGTGGCTGCCAAACAACGTTATAAGGGAGGATTGTGCAACTTTAAATGAGCATGTTCCCTAACTGATCAGCGACATAACAACGAAACAACATTAACCGGGACGATGTTAAGTGAGGAGTTACAGTATAACAGTCATTTAACATAAGTCATTTTCAGATATTATTGGGTGATGCTTGGCCCAAATCATTTAGAAAGTAGTTAATTTTCAAATGTAACGTCTCTCTTTGACATAACCCATTAATATACTGAAGAGGTAATGCAGCTTTTTGTTCCTGTCTCTCAAGTGACCATTGCAGAAAATAGAAAAAACTGATGTGAATCCATATATAATGAACATTAACTCTGGAACTTGCTTTTCATCTGTAAAATACCATCCAAACCTATGGCATGCTCATGACAACTCCAAGAATCTAGTTCTTGATACATTGCAGCCCCAAAATGAATTTAAGAGATGGTTTTACTGTTTTGCTAAAACTAAGCAATAAGTTGTATGTTCTAAAAGTTATATGGTTAAGACTAGTTGACATTTATTTTCTGATTGGAATTATATGCACATATTGTTAATGAGCTGCTCTTTCACATGGAACAGGAGGGAAAAATACTTCTAACTAGGCAAAGTGAATGGGCTAAAGGGAAATTGTATGCATCAGTGACTCAGAATAACTTCATGGGCCAAATATTCACTGCAAATTCTTTGAAGGTGTGTTTACCTTATCCTCTTTATAGCATTCACATTTGGTAAGTGTAATCAGAGGGAAGGAGATATCATCATATATAAGAGAGTTCTGCCACAGCAGAGCAGACTGCTATATTTAATGATTCTGTTACTGTTAACGATAAACCTGTGCTTTTCTCTGAGGATTTGGTAGTAGCTTTGAAGGCAGCAGAGGACCTTGCAGTTTATTAAGGAGGCTGAAATTTTGGTATAAGAACCGTGAAAGAGTGGGGACACTAGCATGCAGAATCTGCAGAAATTTCTTCCAGCTCTGGTCAGTTTGTTGTTATTTGACACTAACCATAGTTAACTTACTTTCTTAAAGGTTAGAAGTCTGAAATATAAATATTAGTTATAACTGATTAGCTACTGATTAGCTGCACACGTTAGTCCCATTTTGTTTCTTAATGATACCATATTATATGCAATACCGTGAACAGAGTACTCTAAGAAAGATATATTGTGGTCATTTCTCTTTAAATTTGGCTTTTTAGATTTCACTGATAATTCAAATCCTAGCAGAGCACATCACATGATAGAAAATAAAGTTTGTATGTTTGTGGTATAAAATTTGGAAATGGTTAGACCTGGGTCTTTGAGTGATTTGTTTGGTAGTGGAGTGTGTCTGTATGGGCTGAGTTTTCATTTTTAGGTAAGAATATCTGTGTGATCACTGGAAGATCTTTGTTTTCAACCCAGTGATAAAGCATCTTAAAACTATCCGTGGAGATAGCATTGCCTTAAACAATTTTACTGGTGGTGTTTGAGTGAACAGCAACACTGACAGAAGTAGTACCAACAGTAAAAGTCGTGTCTGACTACAGCAAGCTGTGGAAATAAGCCGTGGGAAGGCAGTAACTGACTGAATTGACTATCAATTTCTTAGTTTTGCATATATATATAAAAATCTGCTAGCAGCCGAAAGAGGATAGCATTTGTTGCTTGGCTGATGATAGGGCTAATAGAGTCCCTGGATGAAAGCAAGTTTTTTTTGTTTGTTCCTTGCTTGACTAGTTTTATCTACCTTCTTCTTTTCATCCCTTCTAATATACATAGCTTACTATACCAGTGCCTACCAGTATGTAGGTAGTTTTTCCAGAGTTAAGTTAAACTAAAAAAAGGGAAACTTTCCATTTACAAACCCTCACATCTAACTAAACACAAATACATGGTATCTCGTTGAGGGAGATAAGCTCATGTTGTGGTTATACAGTTGTCCTGAGCTCTTTTCACCCCTTTCATTTACTGTTTCTGTTACCAGCCTTGCTCTCCCTGCCCTCCAGGCTCCTTTCCTTCCCACCTGTAACAGGGCACACCCTGCCGTCAGGTCACTTCTCAGTTTATTCCCCATCCAGGGGGGAAGAAAAAGTACAGACAAAGTCTAGTAATTTTTATACCGGGCCTTTGGCCCCCGTTTTGGACTCATCTATCTGATTCTAGGGTTTGAGGCTTGTAGCCTTCTACTGTGCAGATAAGGGAAACTAGCCATATCCTCTCCTTTGGGTTCCAGCCCAGGGGCCCTGTGTTGGGCAACTAACAACCACACCTTCTAATCCCTTGTTGTTTCCCTAGGCTGCTCCTACCTTTTCCCTGTTTGTCAGCATCCCTCACAGGAACATGGACTCCGCTAGTCCCATTCTGGAGTTTTCTCCTTGTGTGGCTTCTTCCCAGACAGCTACTGAGTGCGTTCTCAAGGTCCTTCTTAGTCTTCTTGGGTTATACTGGAGGCAGTCTCTCTTTCCTTAAGACAGGAGTTCCCTGCCAGTCTCTTCCTAGATTTGGGGTTATATTTCAAGCAATCTCTCTGGTCTTCCTCCTTAAGGCAGGAGTCCCCATAACCGCCCTCATCTTGGAGCTGGGATTATGGTTCAGGTAGTCAGTAATGCCTTCCTTAAGACAGGATTTTTCACAGCTCTCCTCATTAGATCTGTGATTGTGATTTAGGCCAACTGTAGGGCCTTAGCTAGCTTTTCCTTCAGCTGGCCCCTTTTTTCCCCAATTAGTCCTCCAACTTGGAGAGCTCAGCAAGCCAGACTTCTCCTGTTAGTGTCTCCTCTGCTATGAGGCAGGAGGCAGCATATATGCTGGGCTTCCTTCCTGAAGTTCATCCCAATTGGCTGGGCAAGAGGGGAGCCTTGCCCTCCCCGCTCTGCAAGGCTCCTAGTCCCAGGTCCTTAAGGAAACAGTAACAGGTTTTCCCCACTCAAGCACTACATTTTCTTGGGGCTACTTCCTATCTACCAGTATTTCGTATTTCTTTTGGTCTTTGTATACATCAGACCTCCCAAACTCCTAAGGGGCCATGCCATGGTGTGCTGTCCCCTAACCGCTACTACCTCTAAAGGGACAGATTAACCCTCCCACCCTTTAGATATCTTGTGTCCCTTTCTACTTTTTCTTATTCCCCTGTTTTTGTTAACCCATCCACTCTCATCCTATCCCCTATTTTTAGATATTAAATTCAAAATGTGACAATTAACGTGATATTTGCCAAACATTAGGCCAAATTCAGCAAACTGTTACAGGGAGGTTTAAAGTACTTTTAAAAAAAATTGTGCTAAAACAGAGGTTTACCCCTTTACAGAGCAGTTTAAATTCTTGCATTTTTTCCTGTCCTGCAAAATGATAAATCTTTCAGTTTAGCTGGTGTGTCTAACAATGTGGTTGGTGCTTTCTGGTATTAATAATATAAACAACTAAAAGACTCATGGTGTCAAACCCCTCTCCTTATAACAGAGCCTGGAGCAATGCAAAGCAAGTAAAGTGCTCAAGATTTATGTTCAGATCACCATATTGCCTGTTTCATTTGACTATCAGCTGTTCTCCAACACACCAACTATTGTTTAATACTCAGATACTGGTGGAACCCAAAGTCCTGAATCTGGATTAGGGCCTTTTTTGTGCTCAGTTCTGACAAGCTGATGATCGAAGTAGACTAGACAGAATAAAGTGAGTTAAAGATGATTGGTCAGCCATTGCCTTGATCACTTTGCTTGTATGTTGCACCCCTTTCCCAACTTCTTCCTACATCTTTTGTCTTGTCTGTTTGGATTGTAAAATCTTCAGCGAGTTCAGGTGATTACTCATAAAGTATGGTAAGTATTTCTTTCTACTGAAGTACAGTGATATTTAGAATCAATTTTTTCATATAGGTTAAGGTAGAAACACTGAAGGAAATCTAGTTTTGGTGCATTCTAG